GAGGGGGGAGAGTACATTTTCTGTGAAGGAAGCCAGACCTGAAGTAAGATACCTTCTTTTCTGTCTTGTGCTTTTGTTGTGGGGTTTTTTTCCCTCGTTATTTATTGGTGGTTTATTCTTCTCCTTCTTCATTTGAAATGATGGACACTTCCTCTTGACTGAGTTGTTTTATTTTTACAACCAGGACTTGCTTTGTGGGTTTTTTCCAACATGTTTCCCATTATCCTATGGGGTTACTTTGGCTTCACCAGTTATCTTCTCCCCCTGCTGTACCTGGGGTTTTTTCCTCTCTCTTTCACCCTTCTTGTACCTGTTCCCTGTATTTCACGTGTGCATTTGTCTTCCCCTTTGTGCTTACTTGTTCTGTGTGTGGTTTTTCTTAACTATTTCAGAAAATGTCAGTTGCTGATTTTGCTATTTGAAGTGGTACTGTGCTATAAAACACCTACCCACAGTCAGGGGTTACATTACCTTGGTGTGCCTATGTCTGTGTTTAAGGCAAGCCTTACGTCTTGCTTAACTTGCTTCTGCTTTGTGTGCAACAGGCTACCGCTCTGGCTACCTTGCTCTGCGGTGGGTGGCTGTTCAACCACAGTGATGAACGTCCCTGTTGGAGTCCTCTGGAAGGACTACGCGGTTACTTGAGTGGAAAATGTTGAGAAAACACCATCCTGGGGAGGTTGCCAAGACTTCTGCCCTCAGACATGACTGACCGGAGAGGCTTTCCCCCCAGCATGTTCCCAAGACTGACTTTGGTTTTGTGTGTCCTCAGGCATGAATAATTGGGCAGGCTTTCTTGCATTAGCTGTCTTGTGCTGTTGTGGACCACAAGACATGGAGAGCAGCTGTTGTCTTTTCCTGAGCTCTCTCCGAAAGGAGGGCCCCAGCAGCACTGTCAACCCAATGGGCTGCTCTCCTGCCTAAAGCTTCTCCCGTCTGGGCCAGAGCCCAAATGCCTCTGCAAGTGTCACGGGAGCTGGTGAGGCCTGGGCTGGGGGAACAGGTTGCCCGCACTTCTCTCCTGGCTGTGCGTCTGAACTCTTAAGGGGAGTCTTGGGACTTGGCTTACCCTTGGGTGAGTGTGGGTGTGTTCCCTTGACCATTTGCCATCACCCACCCAAAGTCCTGAAAATGAAGAGAAGTGAGAGACATGTAGTAAATTCTAAATCTCTGTATGTTTGTATTTCACCTGGCAAAAGGTGAATATTGCCTGAAATTGGGAGGAATGGAGTGGAAGGCATGGGACTTCTGTCCTGGGACAGAAAGGAGGTGGGAAAGGAACAGCTATTTTTAGGTGCATGTGAAGGGACTGCATAGCTCTGTAAACACTTGGGCCATTTCTGTGGCTCACACCGGAATTGAGAGTGCCTCCAATGTAAACTAAGACAACTCACTGTGTGAGAAGAAGATTCTTCATTAGACCCACTGACAGGAATTCCTTCTTAACTTTGTGTTAAAGATTTTGTGAGAGAGAGAGAAGCCCGGTCTTGACATCCCTACTTGAGTCAAGGTCTCAAAATTTAAGGCTGCCTGATGGAGAAGGAAGGAAATGCATGGGAAAGAGGACACAAAATAAGACAAAAAGAAGAAAAATAAAAGCAATAAATAACTGCACAGCCCAGAATCTGATAAGGGGCAACCAGAATCCTGGTGCCCTCACGCCTTAATACCCAGACACAGGGTTTTAGCAAAGCAGAGCAGAAATACCTTCTGTGAAGACAGGGGTAGCCTCAGCTGAGTTCCCAGGTTTCTCTCCCTGTGCCTGGTGGGACTGTCCTCTTCACATGTAGTGCAGCAGTTCAGAGGATGCTGGGGTTGGCTGCCAGCACGCACCCCAGTGACCTGCAGCGACACCAGGAGTTACGGCAGCGTGTGCGCCTGGTGATCAGAGGGGACAACCGAGGGCTTTGCCCCAAGACCTTGGCTACAGTAGTTGAAGTTGTGGCTAAATCATCGCCTTGCCCTCAGTGGTGACCAGATCCCAAGATCAGTGCCAGAGGAGCTGTGTATTCTCCTCTGGGGAAGCCTGATCCGTGAGGGAGGTATCTTGGCACTTACGCTGCGAGCAGTCGCTGTGCCATCCCGCGGCGTGCCCGGGGGTGTCATGTCCATCTGCCTGAGTAGACACGTAACAAGCCTTCCTTCTTCCTGGTGCAGCCTCCAGTGCTGTAAGCCAGATCACAAATTTAGGTGTGTGCAGCTTTGTTGAATGGAGAGTACTGTAGGTATCATTTTTAGAACTTATTCATGATGGAAGATACAATTTGGATCACGTAGCCCTTCATAACATGAAAAATCCGCCCAGGCTTCATGATCTAATTATTACTTTATTTTGTCACCGAATGTTTATGCTTGTCTTTTCTGTAGAGCGTCTTTACAAATGTATATAAGGCCATGTTGTCTGACACCAGAGTATGTTTTTCTGAGGAAAAGTTAAGATAATACAGTTACGATAAAATAATTGGTGTGTCTTTTCCAGTTATGAGCCGGTATTGTCGTTTTATTTTCTCTCTCTGTATTAGGTGACTGAGAACTCTCCAACTGAATCAGAATGTTAGGATAGGTTATGAGATTTTTAAAAAGCATTATTAAATGAAAGCAAATAACCGTTACAGAACCGTGATACTAGAAAAGTACAGTAATAAGAATTGGTCACACATTAAAAGTCCATGTATATAGACGCAGGTATGGCTATACCATTAGCAAAGGATACTTTGCCCAATAGCAAAGTATTTGGGCAGCTATAAGTACATAAAAGGATGAGACTAAGCAGGACTTGATTTTAAAGCTGCATAGACTTTTCCCTACTTTTGCAGTTTTGGATGATGTGCCATACAGCTGCCACTGGTTTGAGGGGAGAAAAAGAAAGAAGAGGCGAGCAGCAAAAGGTCTGAAGGAAAACCGGGCTCAGAAGCCCTTCCCGTTCTGCCTGCAAGCCTATACTTGCCTCTCACAAATGGCTGTGGGTTTCCACCTTTTATATCGTAAGGGCTATTAAACAAACAAGTGTCTGATTAAGTATAGCCGTTCTAATTCTCTTCTATTATTGTATGCTCTTCTAATCAATTTTGTTTGAGAATGGGCATGACATAACTACTTGCTCATCACTCAGTCTTTCCATCACTTTCCTTACCTTCTAGCAGTCCTTGGATTTGTTAACATCTTGGGCTCCCATTTGAAATAAGATAAATGTTCACAAATGATCTGCAGAGGAAAAGGTACCGTCCTGCAGAATTTAACGTAACTGGGTATGGTTTCATGAAGACAAATCTACAAAAGAAAATTCATTGGTCACTTATGCAATTGTAGTTACTCTGCTTCTAAGCGGTTATATCGATGTGTGACTGCTCCTGTTTCTTCATCAGGAATATAATCTTTTCATTGTTATACATCCATACAGTAATACCTCTGAGGGGCATCTTGGGGTGCTGGATGCTATTTCACCCTAGACGAGAAACTTTGAAAGGAGTCTTAACTTCAGATTTTCTTTTGAAAAACCATTTCTTGTGGTTCACCAGTACAGACAGAAAAATGAACTTGCACAGTTTTGATGTACTGTTAACGACAAAAAAATCCCTTTCAGATGGCCTTTTAATCAACTGCTGATTTAAAATTTTAACTGCAATGTTTTGTGGAATTTCATCATAACGCTTGCTTGTTGTTCATGCCAACTCATGGACCCAGTTTCAGGTGGCTGACGGCGGGATCGAGAGCATATTCACAAGTGCACAGAAATCCTATTAATTTCATAATTCGACTATGTCCTGAGCTTTGCTGCTAAAACAGCTAAGCACTGGTTTCTCTATTTCTTCCCCTTCAGAACGCCAGTACTGGGGCTCAGACCTCCAACTTCCCGAAATACCTTTTGAAGAAATAATGTACAATGATGAAAGCGCGTACAAGTGGCTGTGCACCCTAAAGAAACTGGGAATCGTGCTGCTGACAGGAGCTGCTACTCAGCAGGGAGAGTTGGTTAAACTTGGCCACAGGATTGGGTTCCTGCGTCTCACTTTTTATGGGTGAGTTTGTGTTTCGATGTCCTTGCTTTGCTGGCTATGTAATCACCTCTAATGTACTTCACTTCAGCTTGCTGGACCTTAAAAAGAGAGGGAGGAAATCCTAAAATACTGGAAAATACAAGCAGGATCACGCATAAACCTTGTATTGTTACGTGTAGCGGTTTAAGAAGTTAGCAGTTTTTTAAAATAAAGTCACAAAACTGGTTTCAAATGTTGTAATACAGATGTGTGTGAAGTGGTAACATGCTAAACATAGCAGAAAATAGTTAGAGGACTGTCTTCAAACACCTTAATAACCCTGTGTTTGTTAAAGGTGTAATTCATCACATGAAGTCTTGACAAAGACTTTAATGGATTTGGCTTGGGTTTGGATATTTGGGGGGTAAGTGCTTTATAGAGAAATATTATTTTTTGTACCATGTATAGCTGGAACTCAGCCTGAAAATACTACAGAGAAGAAAATACTTCTTTTCCTGTGGTATCTTTTCTCCTAATTTCATCTGTTTCATTTTCAGCTATAGTTATAGTAGTGCCTTGTCTTGTTGCTCTTACATATTCCTCTCAGTAGCAGAAACTCCATTGAGTTTTCAGTCTTGACAACAGACTGAAAACCAGCAGCATTTTTACAGTGCACCTCTTCGCCTCTAAAACAGAAGTTCATTTCTTACTGGCATCTAATTCTGAGGTGGTTTTCACAACTGTAATAAAATAATAAAACTTTGGGTAATTCCCTTGCTATTTCACTAGCAGCCAAATACAAGGCCTACCAAATATTATAAATGAAAGGATAAATTTGGAATGGGCAAGCTTGCCAAATAAAACATTACCTCAACAGAGCCATGAATTTTAAACTGAAACGTAACAGCCATGAATATAACCCTGACACGTGGGAAAACAAAAGGCTTTTTTCTTGTCTAGATGTCTGTTTGGTACATAATGCCTAAAATGTCATTACTGTTAGAAGTGGAAACACTCTGTATCAGCCATATAACAAGATCAAGGGGTTCCACCCTTTTAAATTAACCTTTTTCTTTACGTTACGGAGGCACAACTCCATTAACAAGGTCTCCAGTCACACCACAATTCATTTCTCCAGCTTCTCACGCGCTAGACCTTGTGCTCCTTACCTGTTCTGAAGCCTTGTCCAGGGCTTTGGGTGGCAGGAAGGGCTTCCTTTGGAGCCCCAGCACTCCCACTGAAGTAGCCAAACCATCTGCACCTCCCAGAGGCCCTCAGCTGCAAGAGAAGGACACGGGTCCCAAATCTGGTAGGAATGAGACTTAGATTTTTATTTTTTTTTAATGAAGTGCAAGACCAGATGACACAAGTGTGGCTTCAGTTCCTAGTGCAGTGGTTTTGCAAGACTAAGGATGTAACAGGCTCAGGGAGACTGAGCCCACCTTGCTACTTAATGCCAAGAATTGCTACCCCTTCTGGTGCCAACCTTCCTCCTCTGCCTGAGCAGTTGATGTTGAAATCGGACCCTGTTCCCCCCTTCTCTGCTCTTCCTAAGGGCCAAGAGTCCTCTGACACTACCCTCAATTTCTTCCTTTACTTCTCGTGCGCTCTCCCTGTGACTGAGCTGGTACTTCAGCTCAGCTGAGACTTTGACAAAGTAAGGGTCACTTTTTCACTTTCAGCGCTGAGCTCCCTATTCGCGTCGCTGACTTCAGGTCTTCCAAGTCAGTAACTTGAGCTTTGACCGAAGCTCCTTGCGTGGAAGGAGAGCTCCCGGGGACCAGCTCTCCTCGCAAAGTGTGACACAGCATGAATGCACTGGCCGCTTTTGCAAATGCTTACAACGGTTTTATGAAGTACTACCGTTCCAGCAATTATATATATTGCATATAAGTGACACAATTAAAATATGTTAAATTGTTTTAGAACCATCAAGTGACACTGGAGCCTTTTAAACTAAAGATATAGTGAACTTAGCTACCTTCAACACTAACTACAAGGATACTGTAACGGGCTATTTTTGGATGCAAAATTGGGAACTAAGGAAGTGTGGTTGAAATTATCATTCTTGAGTACTGAAGTAATGTACTGACGGACAAGTGCTGTACCAAATAATAAAAATTATTTCTCCCAGGCAGTTAAAACACATTTGTACATACTCAAGGGGGTTTTCCCCTGGCAATTTCAGAAATTTAGTTTTAGCATTTTATGTAGTTTCTGTACAAATTACCACTCCTCGAACAAAAAGGTTTGTATACTATATATAAGGAATTTTGGTCTGCATGTTCTATAGCCTATTTTCTTTTTAAACTGATACTAAGAAGTAATGCTAGACACACACCACCTGAAACATAATGTACTTGGTCTATAGTATTTCCCAAGGGAAAATCAGTTTCATATTTTCTTTTAAATCCCTTATTCTCCTGCAATTACAGGGACTATGTAAGTGACTTATACTTTTCCAGGCAAATGTCTGGATCTCTAACATGTATCTGCTGAGGACTGTCTTCAATCATGTGAACTCTGTACAAACAAAACATGTCGTTCTTGGTCTTAAATTCTCCTGCACGGTGTGTCACTTGAAACAGATATTGATTGTGCTGCAGCATCATGTATTCATATCTCTGTCATATAACTAAGACTATTTTTTTTTCCCTGCAGTTGTTAGTAAACTTATTGAGTTTTGTCCAATTTCAAAACCAAATACGTAACGAAATAAACAGGGGTAGTTCTTGGAAAGAGCCTCAGAGAAAGGGAAGGAGCTACAAAGAATTTCATCGAGATGTTTTCCTTTTAGCATCAAGTCTTCAAGTTACAGGAAAGATCCCCCTGCAAAGGGTGCTCTGTATTTTCTAAGATCATAAATGTTTAAAAATAAATTTTGGGGAAAGTTGCATAGCCTTTAACAATTTCATATTTCATTGACAACGTGCTGCACCTGGCAGGCAAAAATGGAAGGGTGACAAAAAGAATTGGACGAACTTCCCCTCTCATTTCTGAAGCCTCGGTAATAAGATGATGGTTTATCCTAACAGATACCTCTCAGTTAGTGTCTTCAACTGACCTTTGCGTTCAGCAAAGTACCACCACTGGAAGGCCGTCATTCTTCCAGATGCTACGCTGGGGCCAGGTGTCCCTTGGGTTCTAGCCTCAGTGTAGGACTGCTGAAATAAGCCTTCTTTGCTGGAGTGGGGGACACTGCTAAATCATGATTTCCTTATAATTTTACAGTATTTTCATGTTCAAAGATAGAATGGCTCTTTTGTACTGTGATTTCACAGTTTCAGTGTGTACTGTCTGGCATGCTGGATGGCTCTCCTAACACGTTTTCTCTTTTACCTTTCGTTATAAAGACCAACTTGGCAAGTGCAAGACAAAGCAGATGCTAACAATGTAGCTTATACAAGCGGGAAACTGTGTTTTCACACTGATTACCCTGTTCTACAGCAACCACCTGGGGTAAGGTGAATCTACTGACTTTTTCACAACAGAAAAGGGGAAAGGGAACTGTTCCTATAGCTTGAAATACGGTTAGCATTCAGTGACTCTGAATTTTGTCTTAAAAGAGCAATGTAAAAATAATGATATAGTAATCTGTATATAACGATCTATATACACATGGACATGCAATATACACATTATGATGCAAGTTCTGCATCACATGCACATGATGTATCCCATAATTTTTAAATGAAATTCACCAAGTATTGAGAGTGTTACTGTTTGAGAAAACATTAGGGTCCTGTATGTGCTTTTGATGCTGCTTTCATTATATTCAAAAAGTTAGGTGTCTAAATGCTGTAGTCAAGTTGTGACATTTTAGGACTCATCTGTTCACCTCAGGAGGGGAATGTATTAGAAGAAATGTGATTACGGCGTTATATTCTGTTCTCTGTGGATTGATGGAAGTCAGACGCTTATTTGCCTTTTCATCATAGGCAAAAAAGGGGCACAGCTTGACAACAACCACAGGAAATGTATTTTCACCTGATCCCTGTCATATCAAAGTCTAGTCCACGTAATTCACTAGAGGACTGGAAAGTAGTAGGAACAGGTACAAAGGAACCCTGGAAAAGTTTACATCTATAAAACTTCCCCTGCTAATGTAGCGTAGATCTTTGTATCCGTTGTTTCTGTAATTAAACAAAAAGTCAATGTAATTTATCCACAAGGAAGTGCCAGATACTTCACACTAACATGACCTTTTTAAATCATTTAGATACTGTTCATTAATGTGGAGTGAGAATGGAACAGGGCTTCATTAATAGAGAGCAGATGTGAATTAGCTCACTGTCTTGTCTGTGCCAAAGCTCACACTCTGCTATGAAAAAGAGCATAACCTTTTTCATTCAAACATGCTTGTAAGAAATAAAAGTATTAAAGTACATTGAAATATTTTTTAACATTGACCTGAATGGGCAGTTTTATTTATTTATCTAGCTATTACACAATATTTGCATTGTGAAGATGTTTTTATTACAAATATTTGAAGAAATGTTTTTAAAATGGATGGTGATTAGTTTCAGAACTGTCCCATAAAAATAGTTTTAAGATTTCCTTGGGTTTTGATCTGGCAGCTATTTTCCCGGAGATATCCTGCTTAAAAACAAAACAAAACCTGATGATGAGATCTAGCAGAAACATCAGCTCTCTAGAATGTAAAGCTGTATTCTCCTTTGAACTAAATTCCGCCTTTGAAATTTTTCAGTCATTTACCATGAAGTACATTACTGCAGCCCTCCTCAGCAGCACCAAGCTGTGCTTGCCCTACGCAAGGCTGTCAGGGGCCACAAAAGAAAAGAGCTTGTTGCCTTGTGCTCCCTTCAGTGGGAGCCCTGAGTCCTCCCCACAGCTTGTTGGCCAAGAAGAGCATGGCAGGAGGGCAGGAAGCTGCTTCATCAAATGAATAAGCTAGTTATGTCCTTTCCAAGCAAGTCCCCCTTCTGCACTGTCAGTTATTTCAGGTTCCCTCTTCATCACCACCACCAAGGTCTGAGGAGATTCTGGGACAAACTCTGTTCTCTGCTCCTCTTCCTCCTCCTGGGTTTTTTGGTTGGTTTTTTGTATTGTTTTTTTTTTCTCTCCTAGTGCTCTCAGAAATAATTCACCATCATGGAAGGGAAAGGTGAGCACTGTTACCATTGGTATGACAGATGTACCTTGTGTCGTTTGGCCGAGATGAATGGTTACACTCGGTGTGATGCTGGACTCTAATGCCACGGGGAGTTTTACAGCCTGTGTCCCTAGCTCAGATTTACACTGGTGCAACCAAGAGCCCAGTTTAGGCTTTCTGCTCCATCTTACACCTTGACAATTCCACTGTGAGGTGAAATGAAACTGTCTTAATCCTACTTTATCATGGAGACGCTGGGCCTGTTGCCCTCTGTGACAGCCACCTTTTCCCCTCTGTGAGCAGATAATTCACAGCAGGTTTTGTCTCTGCAAGAGAAAGCTAATCCTCCTTGTTGAGATAAGACTGCAATGCATTTAAAATTACATGACTGCCGCAAAGAGGGACTCAAAGGAAAGAAGCGAGGCCAGAGCTTTGCAGTTCAGTTGCAGGTTACGAGCAGTAGAAGATATCCCAAATGGGATGGGTTTATTAACATGATGCTTTAATTTTCTGCCCTTGTGACAGAGGTGACAGAATACTGTGAATCTGCAGTAATGGGAACTCAGTCTTTCACTGAAAAAAAAAAAACCACCACCAAAAAACCACCCCCGAACTACAGATATGAGGAAAGCGATGCTAATGAACTGTTAAATATGCAAGCTAATTCTTTCTGTAATGAGATGTTAATTCATTCCAGGTTCAGTTTCTCCATTGTATAAAGCAAACAGCTGCAGGAGGGGAAAGTGAAGTTGTGGATGGATTTCATGTATCCAACAAGCTGAAGAAACAAAATCCTCAGGCGTATCAGATCCTGTCCTCTACTGCTGTAGACTACACGGATGTTGGGGTCGACTACTGTGATTTTGCTGTGCAATGTAAACAAAGGATTATAGAGTGAGTAGTTTCAACAACATCAAAAAATAAAATCCCATGTTGGTAGAAGGTCCGCTCCTGCCACCTTGTGGGGCGACACTGGTTTGACTTGGTCTGTAGTTATTTGGGGGGGGGAGGTTGGGTTGGTTTGGGTTTGGTTTTTTTTTGCCAGTGTATGACTTGTTCTGTGCATTGTACCACCACAGCATAGTTTTCCTTATTTGGTTTTGCCGCACGCTAGCAAGAAGGGGTGGTAATTAGAGCAGCTCCTAGGTGCAGACACAGGTTAACAGCAGCTGGGTCTGTTACTAACTTCCAGCCGATGTACATCTGTATCGTGCCAAAGAGAGGCATAATTTGAAGCACTTAGATTAAGAATTATGTACTATAAAAAGATCAAATGCGAATGTTCATAATGTCTTCTGGATTTAAAACGTTTATATTACAACTCTTTAGTTGTAGAAACAGATTTTTGAGCAAATTAAGTATCTACATTTTCTCCTGATTATCACTTTTCCTAGTTAGGCTTAATTATCAAAATCCAACCCAACGACAGTCTGAATTCCGCTATAGAAACATACTGGAATTCCAGCAGGAGAGTTTGGTTGTTTAACTATCTTAAAGCGTTTCAGTGACAACGTAATACATTCCTTTTCCTTTCCTTCTCTGTTTCATAGTGTGGATTCCAGAGGCCAAGCAGTTCGCATCAATTATAATAATGCAACAAGAGACACAGTGTTTGACATACCAGCTGAAAAAGTGAGGCCATTTTATGCCGCTCTAAAGGAATTTGTTGATTTATTAAACAGCGCAGAACACAAGTTTACTTACAAGCTGAAACCAGGTCAGTAAGTTGCTTCTCCTCGCAATGATTTTTCACATGTTTTCCTAACAGTCAAAACACTTGAGCATTGTTAGCACTGGTAGTGAGAGGAAATTTTAGTCCTCCTATCATCTACTTCATTTCATACTGCATCCTTACACTCATCTCAGAGATTTCTTTTGCCGTTGTTACGCTATGAAGAAAAAAAAGAAAAAGGTGGGGGGGGGAATAAAGTCTGTCTATTGATTAGTCTGACATATCTTTATACTACATCAAAAAGCCATAGCATAGAGGAGACTGTAACTGGTCATATCAATAGCACCACAGATGGGAAAGACCGCGTCTAAGACTGCTGTGCCAGCCCACCTCAGTGTCTGTTCATTAAATAACACGATCACATACTTTTTCCTCTGCTTCACTTGATGCAGAGTACAGACATTGAGCCAAATGGCGCATCTTTCTTTGTGACACCTGAATTTGTTAGTGGGGCACCTCCCCAATGGCTGCAGGAGCTGCACCCAAGGGCCCTGCTGCTGTGCTGCTCTTTCTGGGTGGCCTATGCAAGACATCTGGAGGCAGGTTTGCAGAAGTGCTGAGTGCTCTAAACTTCAGCTGGAGTTGTACAGGGCTGTGATTTGAACATAAAACATGCTGCAAAAATGCCCTTTACTCTTTAAAAGTCAGTCCATGCATACGTTTAACTACTTTGGCCTTATTCTCTGTTCTTTCATTCCCCAGCTATAAAACAAAGCTATGAATAGTCCCTCATCTCTCAAGAGATGTTACAAAAGGAAGTGCATTAGTGTGTCTGACTGCCTCATGTACTATGATGCTAGTGTCTTTAAAACATCTATGAGGAAATTAATCTCTATTAGGAACATGTAATAAAATAATTTATAAGATCACATAATAAATGGTAAAACAAAGTACCTCACATTAAACTAGTGCCATCCATCCCATCAATTAATGCACCAAAATGGTGATAGAGGGGAAGGGGAGAAGGAAAGCAAGACTATAAAGTTATTTAATTAGAGATTTATCATAACAGTGGCACACAAGGGAGAAAAATTAAAATGGCATGCTAGCCTTAATGATGTGATTTCCTTACTTTCAACAGCTTGATTTTGTTCTCATAAAATTCTCTTAGCAGGGATAGTAATGCAGAATGTGTGTAGTACAAATTGTACCAGACCGATCAAATAAATCCCATCCTAGTGACTCTCACCCTTTTTATCCTTCCTGTGGAGCTGCTGTAGTCGCCGCTCCCCTCAAGGCCTGCTTTTCTCAGCATGGACTCCCCTACCACTCCACTTTTTAACTCCTGGTTTTACCAGAAAAGAGGCGGAGTCAAAAGGGACCTGCCCTTTCTGGTTGTGAAGGACCAGCTAAATTAAAATTACCGTGTCATTGCTGCATATCTCCAGCAGAGATACGTGGAATTATTGCTACCTGTGGGCATAAACCTCCTTTCATCTTACCTGTTCGAAGGAATCAACTATACCATATCATAGGTTAAACTTTGTGCAATGTCTTTATAGGAGACATAGTGACATTTGATAACTGGCGTGTGCTTCACGGTCGCCAAAGCTACCTCTCGGGATCAGAAGTGACTCGTCACCTGGAAGGTGCCTATGCAGACTGGGATGTGGTCATGTCAAGGCTCCGGCTCCTCAGGAAGAGGGTCCTGAATAGGGACTGAGCTTTCTTCTAACTGGAATGAGCAAAACCTAGATGGTCTAGCCTCAGTAACAACAACAACAACAAAAATAATTGTTTTTTCTTTTGAGAAACTAATATCTTCAATATTGAATTGTTGTTCATAACACTTCGAGATTTATCTGTGCCCCAGTCTTTGAATCTATAAAATTGTCTACATTTAGCCTGTGCCTGGGGTGAAACTTTAACGCTTCCTCTACCACCCAACAATCCCTCACCAGCGAGGGAGGAGAATCGGGAAAAAGGAGAGCAGACCTGTGGCGGGGGGGAAGTGAGAACAGATTTTAATGAGATGACACCAACACCAACAGTGATATACAAATGAATATGCAGTCCTTAGGAGCAGGGAGAAGTCAGAGGAGCAGGAGGAACCCCACGGGAGCTCCCTTCCTCAGCCAACCTTCCCCCTTTACAACGACCACGACATTACGGTGTGGGCTGCCCCTGTAGCTCACTCAGGGCAGCTGCCCGGGCTGACTCCAAACTGGGAACAGCCTGCCCAGCACGGCTGGGGGGGGGGGCTCCCAGCCAAACCAGGACAAGAATGTATTGCTACCTCTTGTCAGTTTATTTTTGAGATAAAGCTTTTTAAAAATCAGTGTGAAAATGGCTTGAAAGATTTATCACTTTACCAGGTTCATGGTGTCACACTGCCTTCCTTTGCCTCTACAAACATACCTGCCCTCCCTAGCGAGCTTGGCAGGCACCATCAAGCTCAAAAAGAGCTTGAAGTATTACTTACTAAAGGATTGTTATGAACAGCACCTCCCTCTGTTTTCAGAGAGGCATTCTTTATGGCATAAATCATAACTAAAATTCATTCTTAAATGAACAACCACTGCTGGGGAGTTATTTCTATATACACAGCTTTTTAGGTAGAACTCCACTTTAATACAAGATCTCATTCAACAGATTCTGTATATCTTGCTGTACGTGTGATGACTGTCACAGCCACAAATAAGTTTTCCTACATTTCCAAGTCTATAAGCTCAGAAATGATGGAGCTACCAGAGAACGCATCATTTTAATTTTCCTCTGCGTTGTGAACAGAAGTCAGTCTCAGTGTAGAGGTCACAGATAGGCTCAGAAACCCCATCAGATGCTGTGCACAGACGTAATTAAGATCTGCAGGGCAGACAGACCTCTGAGTAAAGTCGGGAGGAAGAATGCTGATGCTGCTAGAAACCACAAAGCACAAGAGGTGGTTATTGAGTCGGCACCTGACAGAGAAGTGGCAAATGAACTCGGATCCATTTTTTGTTGCACCGAACAGAAGAGCCTCCGACAGACTTGGTCTGCAGGACGTTTTCCTCTAGGTTTCATCCTGAATAGACATCACACTGTGTAAAAATTACTGCAGCTGAAGTAGTGGGGTTTTCCCCTATATTCAGATGCCAAATTGAAAGAATTTTAAAATACTTGATTTTCTACCCAACAATATGTCCGCTGAGTTTATTTTTAGTGTCCTTATAGCTGCAGAGTTAACAGGACACCCTCTCCCCCGTGCTGTGAGCCTGACACAATAACCACACCTCTACCCTTGGATCCGCTCTGTTCAACTGTTTATTTTCAAACTATTCCTTGAAAGTCAAATAAACCCTACTCTTTTCCTAGTAGGCTAAGAAAATAGAACTGTAACTCTGGAATTAAAGAACTGTGGGATTAAATTTGTTGACACGACACAAAAAAACCTCAACATAAGTGAGACCCTGACATCAGCCTGCAAACACTTCCTTAGCATCGACTCATCGTTTACAGTCAACAGGTCTCTCAGCTGAATAATCAAATAAAACCGAGTTTGGCTTTGGTCATGAGCTAGCATAGCGCGCTTCGAATTCATTCCTCTTTAGTAAATAGTGAAGTGTTTTCATCAAAGTTATGACATAGCGTAACAAAACTGGCTTTTAGTGGCAATTTGATTTCTCAGTGCCTCCATTAATAACTAATTTTGGAAACATGAGGGAAGTATTTTTTGCCTTTACTACGAAAGGGGGAAAAGATAAGGAAAGTTTAATATCTATATTCTGTAAGACACCAGCAGTACCGTGCTTTAACTGTGATACTTTCCATATAAAAACTGAGTGAAGATTTGCAGTTTGTAACTTTAAAACCATTGGTGTTTATACCAATGGTTAATAGGGAAGAGATATTTTCTGATTTTATTCTGTACTTTTCTAAACTCTGTTTTATTCAAATTTCTGTTTATTAAAAGCTATTATGGAACTGATTACTGGTTTGGGCTCATATCTAATCCTGCACAACATCTTCCGCGCAGATATGAAGTCATTACTGTTCTTTACAAGTATTTGTAAATATGTGGACCCATTCAGGTTTGTTCTGTATACTTCACATATAGTTGAAATACAACTAAACCCATAGCTTTGAATGGCCGCAGGGAAAACAAACAAACAAACAAAATCAAACAAAATTAAAAAAAAATAATTAAGGCTCTTAATGGATCTAATTTTGCACTGCTGGGATTTTTTGTCAGTTTTATTATGCCCTAATAAAAACTCACACAAGAGATCCCTGAAGTTCATGACTTGATGCCTGAGATTTATTGTACTTTGTATACCCACACCTCTTGAACTTCAACATTTCCCCAAAATATGTAGTATCAATGTTAAATAAATAATTTTTTTAAAAGGCGGATTTGCAGATTGCAGGCGTGTGCCCCGTACACCGGCAGGATGGGTGGGTGTTGGAGTGCTGTGGCTCCGGGTTCCCAACAGCACAATCACCCTGCTTGCCTGCAATTTGCAGTGTATAAATCCTTTAGTATTATATATAAACATAATTCAAGCTACTATATAGTCAACAAAGTATTTCACGCAGAAAGGAGTACAAATAATGGTAAAAACTGTTCATCAGTGGAATTGTGAAGTCCTGCACAAATAAAACCTAATCTTTGCGGTGCCCCCGTGAGCTATGGCATGATACCCAGTTTAACTGGGAAAGGGTCAGACTATCCACACGAACACGATGCACAACCAAAACTTACATTTCTGGCTGCAAACCCTCTGCTCAGCTCCTGGGATCCAGCTACTATCTATATCACAAACTTTAATTCTGGACACGTTTGCATATTTGTATAGTTGTACTGGGAAAAGAGAGTATTTCTGTAACTACCTGCAAAGTAGGTCTTCTGATGACTATACTGGTACCTGGTCAGGCTAAGCAATGGCAGAAGCCCGAGGTAAGTTGATGTCCCCTTTGTCTCCAAATCCACGCCAAAGAACGACATCGCCAAGCTTTCAGATAGGTCTGGCTTCTGCTCTGCCTGCAGTACCGACACGTGGGTCGCCCAGCCCGGGTACCCCAGCCACCACAGGCTGCCAGCCCCAGCTGTCTCTACCATCTTACAGCAGCAAGAGAAATCAGCTGGTAATAGGTGTTTGCAAAACAACTGTAAAGAAGCTCTGGGCTGTATCCAGAGGGTGCTAGTGGACCTGATTTCACTTGGCCGGTTTAGCCCAGAAGCCACAATGCCGTGTTACCTTTGTGCTGTCCATGACACGCCACCTATCCAGCCTGTGGTCAGCAGCTGGCTGCATCTGGTGGGCTCACGGCACAGGGGGAGAAACAAAAAAGTACACGTCCGTTCTGTTATTTGCAAATGCCTTTTGTCTTTTGTCCTAGCTTTCTTCTCCCCTTGCGTTTTGTAGCAATGGGTGTTGGATCCAATCCCACAGAATCGTTTTCATGTACCATTTTAAAAATTGGGCGGTTATCGGATTTCCAGCTAGTTTTTAAGCTTTCTGAAAGCAAGTAGTGTCTTGGGCATCTCAGTATCCTCACATCTCTGTGGATCACTTCAGCACAGCTCGGCATTAGCCACTGCTGAGCTACCTGCAGCATGTGCCAGCTTCTTTGGGCTGCACGGGCAGGAAACTCAAGTCCAGAGAGATTTCCTATTGCCTGTTGCAGGAAGAAAGCTGGATTAGCTGCCCAGCTTTGCCAGTTGCTTTACATATGTCCAGATCCACCTAACAGGTTGTGTATATATATGTATAAACACACACAGAGTCGTGTTATCCAGAGGAACAAAGGCAGACGCAGTCCTGTTTCACACTGGGTCTGTACTGGCTATGATAAGGTCAAGAAGGCTCGCTCCAAACAGCTTACTCTCCTTACACAGGTCTTGTCTAAACCAGCACAGGGCGCACGGCTTGCACATCTCGGCCAGGAAGGCCTGGAACAGACGTGGCTGCTGTCGCGGGTCACACCGTGACAGCATCTTTTCAGCAGAGTTCCCACTGACTTGATGGTAGAGTAAAAGATGAGAAAACATTATGGCCAACAGACTGTTCTGCAGCAGTGGGAAACACAGGCACTAGCTGCTCCCTAAGGCTCACCAGCTATCTCTGCGCAAAGGGACATCCAGTGATGAGGCTCAAACTCCATTTCAGGTTTATTTGCTGTGTTCATTTTACTGAAAGTTGGGGAAGGTAAAATAATGATCACTTTGTGACTGGTTCTTCCTTACTCTAAAATACATTCAGCATCTAAGTTACTTGAACAGGCAGATAGAGTATAAAGCACATACTGCTGCTTAAAACTCACACTTGTGTAAATTCACAGCAGAATAAATGCAGCCTTTCATCACTTGTGCAATATATTACTCCTGGAAAATCTGTATTTATTCTGTACTGTGCTTTTCTCTGACACAAATCAGAGAAAGTACTTAGCGATCTTAGATTTTATTCTAATCTACACATTCATAAGGGTAACTGTCAGTTTAGGGCAAGTCCTTATTTGAAAGCTTCATGTTGGAAACTTGAAATAACTTTTGCTAAAAGCTAACATAATAAATATATTTTATACGCACATTTTAAGCTTACAGCAAAGGATCTCCCCACCCTGCTATGCCAGTCTAGTAGCACAAAAAAGATGGTAAAGACTGAGATGGAGAAAGAGCGCAAAAATCCCCTTTGAAAACAACCAAACCAAAAAAACCTCAGCCAAACAAAAAATCCACCCCACACCAGAACAAAAAGGAAAATAAATCACAACTGCTCATAAGAAACCT